GCACTAGACGATGATGATGAGTGTCATGATGATGATGATGATGATGATGATGATGATGATGATGATGATGACCATGGTATGGTGAGGGTATGATGTGAGTATGACGGTGATGGTGAATGATGGATGATGATGATGATGATGATGCTAATGATGATGCTGCTGATGATGATGCTGATGATGATGATGATGATGATGATGATGATGATGATGATGATGATGATGATGATGATGATGATGATGATGATGATGATGAGGAGGAGGAGGAGGAGGAGGAGGAGGAGGAGGAGGACTAGGAGGAGGACTAGGAGGAGGAGGAGGAGCAGGAGGAGGAGGAGGAGGAGGAGGAGGAGGAGGAGGAGCAGATGATGAGGATGTCTCGAGCTGTTTGCTGGTTTTAGCACTCCTAAGGGGGGGCGCCAGGGGGTATCTCACGGCCTACGTTCGCGCCAAAATGGTGGGGATGTCTCGAGAGGTTTGCCTGTTTTGGTCGCGAACATCCTTCGTTTTCGGAGCAGATTTTGAGAATGTTTTGTGCGAGGCGCCTCCTAAGGGGGGGCCGCCAGGGGTATCCCACGGCCTCCTTTCGCGCCCAGATTGCGGGGATGTCTCACGCGGTTTGTTTGTTTTGGTAGCGAACATCCTTCGTTTTCGGAGCAGATTTGGAGGATGTCTCCAGCGAGACGCTCATTTTCGCCCCCCAGGGGGGCCAGATTTTGAGGATGTCTCGATCGGTTTGCCTGTTTTGGTGGCCAGACTCGTGGGCACAGATTCTCCCCAGGATGCCACAGGAGGCTCAAGAGGAAGACTCAAGAGGCCACAGGATGTTCCAAGAGGCTCCAGGAGGCCCCAGGAAGCTCCAGGAGGCCTCAGGAGGCCCCAGAAGGCAACAGGAGGTCCCGAGGGGCCTCAGGAGCAGGAGTTCTCACAAGGTAACACAGGAGTGGCTCCAATCCCATGTGTTTTACGTATGCTCCTACAGATTGGGCCTCACCTGGAGCACGAATCCAACAACCCGACGCCCCGGCGATTCTACGGCTTCGTCTGTTGAAGCAAGTTATGCAGGAGGTTCGGACAACTTCGGTATACATATTGGCGAACACGCCAAGGCGGATAGCCTTGCCGACAAACTGGGGGTGGTCATGCGGTGCCTGCGGGCAATCGAGCAAGGCAACCTCGGGGCTATTTCACAATGTCTTCAGCGCCGGCCAGTTGGTCGACAACCCCTACGAGCTGAAGGACAATTTAGCCCGCCGCCTGAGGTCACTAAAGGATCACGCCGCTGACCTCGCCAGGGATTTTGCCATGGAACAGCTCCAACAGGCCCAGGACAAGCCCCAGTGGGGAGACCAGCTGGCAGCCCGGCGACGCCAGCAGCGAGGCCCCCGCCTCCTCTGCAAATCGGCTCAGGGTAGAGCTGCTTCGATCGGCGCCGCGGTGGGCAGAAACGGCCAGTTTCTCACGAACGGCTGCGACATGGCGGCCGAGCTCGGCCGCCATTGGGCGGAAGTCTTCATGTCAAGAGGGAGCGACGACGCACGCTTAGAAACTTGGCTCCAGGAAGATGTCGACCACCGTGCTGCGCATGGCCCTCGCCAGGATGACTTCGGGCACGTGCGGCTACGCCGACAGCATATCGCCCGTGTGTTGAAAATGTCCAACAAATCAGCTCCAGGGCCCGATGGGATCCCCTACGGTGCGTGGCGGGCCTTGGGAAGTTCAGCCGTCGACGTGCTCCACGAGGCCTTCCAGGACCTGGTCGCTGACGCTGGGCCCCAGGCACTTCGGGAACATTATCCGGACTTCAACGCAAGCTTGTTGTTCTTCCTCCTGAAAAAGCCGCGGGCGCCACCGAGCATGGAGTCCCCGCCTTTGCTGCCAGCGCCGCGCGGCCGCTCAACGTCATGAATTGTGACAACCGCCTCTTCGCGAGCGCAGTGAGGTTGGTGCTGGAGCCAATGGTGGAAGGGAGAATCGTCGAAGACCGGCGGGGCTTCTTGCCAGGCCAGTCCATGATCGCCAATGTAGTGGACATCGACGAGGCCATGGTTCAAGAGCGGGCGCGAGGCGAAGCGGGCGTGGCTCTGTTCTACGACTTCGCTGCTGCGTTTCCCCCCATCGAACATGCATTATTCCAGCGTTTTTTTGTTTTTTTTGTTTTTGCGAAGCTGGGTCGGCCGCCTGGGCTCCTCAACGCACTCGCGATCCTCTACATGGACAACGCGTTCGCGATCCAGCTGCAGGGGGTTCGTCATCCAGGATTTCGAATCAGCTGGGGTATCAGACAAGGCTGCCCTATCTCCTCTCCGCTGCTCTTCGCGGTGGCTACAGATCTGCTCCTACGACCTGCCTGCGCGCCTCTCTATTGCTGCAACGTGCTCCCTGGCCTGGGCCGACGACCTGGCCATGGTGCTCCAGGACGGCATGGGGTGCTTGACTGCAGACGTTCTTCTTGGACTTTGAGGCAGTGTCGGGCCTGGCCCTCAACATCACGAATATCGTATTGGTACCCTTGTTTCGTTACGAACATGATGTGCTGGCCCCGTGATGGGCTGGCATCCAAATTGCGAGCTCAGCCAAATACCTCGGCTTTTTCGTCGGCCCCGGGCGCCAAGAGAAGTCGTGGGACGCCCCCCTGGCCAAGTACCTGGACAGGGCGAGGCTCTGGGGGCGGCTGGGTTTAGGCCTCGCCCTCACTCCAAGCTTACAAGGTCTACATCGCGTCGGTCCTCCTCTTCGTGGGCCAGCTGGAGGAGCACCCCGAGCGGTGGCCGCAAGTGGAGCGCCATGCCTGCCAGGCCCTCTTTCCTGGCCCCCTCCGGTGGATGACCCCGAGCTGCTTGAAGGATCTGCGGTGCCTGCACATGCCAGTGGCGCTGCTCGACGTCTCCAGCACGACGCAGGCGGCCAAATTGCGGGTGGTGGTGTTCGAGAACGCTCGTCACGGAGGGCTTCGCGTCGCTGCGCGCGCGGCCGCGCCGTGTGCCCTCGCGCCCAACGGGATTTCCGATACTGTTTCGCTCAGCCACGCGGGCTGGCATCAACGGTGGGCGCAGCGGGGTTGCCTCGAGAACTTGGACGCGGCCGCCGCTGTCCTGGAGCACAGCAACAGCGCCGTGTCGGAAGCAGTCAGAGCCCTAAGCACGAAAGGCGGGTGGCAGGGCCAGACTGCTCGGCTACTCATGTGTCTCCCCAGGAAGGCGGGCCTCTTTCATATCTCAAGGAGGCTCCAGAGGTGGCCGCTCCTGACCCTGCCTGGCCACAGAGGTGAGCGAGCCATGAGGGTTCTCAGAGTTCTGGGCAAGGAGGCTGCCCCGAAAGTCGCCGCAACCTACTTGCGCACAATCTGGAACGGGCGGTGCACACGGCGCAGGTTTCAAACGAACCGTTTTTGCATTCTCGGGTGCGGCCGTTACGAAAACAGCCTCGAGCATTTTGCTCGCTGCCCGGCTGTGCGGCACTTGTGCTGCGCGCATTTTGCATGGCAGCCGCCTCTGGCGGAGGGGGCAACCGATTTTTTCTTTGCATGCGGTCCAGCACTGCTCTTGTGTCTGATGGGTGGAGTTCGTCCGCCGTCCTCCAGCACTGTCTTTGCCTTTGCTCTCTGTATCGCCTTCACAATTACATTCGGCGCGGGCATTTCGTTCCTTCCGATTTCCGAGGGGCTTTTTCTGCAGTTTGTTCGGGATGGGGCCAGTTGAATAGCACGTCTCTCTCGCTCCCCCCCTCCCTCCGTCTCTCTCTCTTTCTTTCTTTCTCTAGGCTTGAGTCACAGGGATGACGGCCGGTTGGAGATTGCAGTAGTGATGGCCATCACTGCTTGGACCGCCTCGTCCAGAGCGACTGCCTCGGTTGTGAAGGAAGAAATAGGGTCGCGAAGCAAAGTGCCTCTTAATATGATCGGGGTGGTCACTATGTAGGCCCCCTTCCGGACGACGGCTTCGATGCGCCATGCTGCCGCAGAACACGCCCCTGTCCTCGTGCCACCTTTTGTGTGAACCAAGGGTTGGCCATCGCAAGGTCCTCGGATGATCTGTCTCCAGCTTGAAACCGCGATTTACGTTCGTCATCGTGTAATTGGCCAGGTAGTCTGCCCTAACATTCCATGCCCGTTGCTGCCAACAGACCACGTCTCTCTCTGTCTGTCTGTCTCTCTCTCTCTCTCTCTCTCTCTCTCTCTCTCTCTCTCTCTCTCTCTCTGTCTCTCTCTTTTTCTCTCTCTCTTCTCTCTCTCTCTCTCTCTCTCTCTCTCTTCTCTCTCTCTCTCTCTTTCTCTCTCTCTTCTCTCTCTCTCTCTCTCTCTCTTCTCTCTCTCTCTCTCTCTCTCTCTCTCTCTCTCTCTCTTTTTTTTTTTTTTTTTTTTTTTTTTTTTTTTTTTTTTTTTTTTTTTTTTTTTTCTCTCTCTCTCTCTCTCTCTCTCTCTTCTCTCTCTCTCTCTCTCTCTCTCTCTTTTCTCTTTCTGCTCTCTCTATCTCTCTCTCTCTCTCTCTCTCTCTCTCTCTCTCTCTCTCTCTCTCTCTCTCTCTCTCGCTCTCTCTCTCTCTCTCTTCTTCCTTGTCCCGCTCTCGCGCGCGTCAAATTTCAACATGAGTGTGGCATTTCCGTTTAGTTGGCGCCACTGGTTCGCCGGCTTGCCTGGGCGACTCGCGTGGGGGCCGCCCCGCCGTGCAGGATATTAATCGGGGCTAATGTGTATATCATCAATATCTGTGCGCCCACTGCGGCGGGTATAGAGTTCTTTGTGGGGGGAGCGTTCTCCTAAGCTGTGGCGGAACATCGCCTGGGCACCGAATCTGTGACATTTGTTTGGGCTGTTGCTGCCCACGGGGGGGGGGGGGGGGGGGGGGGGGGGCGCGATTTGTCCGCCGATGGCTTTGCAGGCAGCTGACGGCGAGTGTCTTCGAACTGGTGCTTCGCGCGTTCCTTGCAAAACAAAAAACGAAGCCTTGATGTTATACGCATCTTTCTATGCATTGTCCTTCTCTTGTGTATACAATCCTGCATGTTTTACGTATGTTCCTAGAGATTGGGCCTCCCTGGGGCGCGAACCCTTAGTGTTTCTCGTGCGTTCCTATAGATGGCCGTTTTCCTGCGGTTCCGATCCGCAATGTTTTATGTGCGTCTGTTCCTATAGATTGGGCCTCTCCTGGGGCACGATTCCTCCGTAGCCATTTTGGCTCAAGCGCTCGCATGCCGCGCCGCCTCGGCCTCCCGCCTCGGGATGGCTGGCCTGCGCGCGGCTAGAGGGGCTGGCACGGCCGCCGACGACCTCGCGCTGCTGGTGCGCGCGGCGGTCCGCGGCGCTGTGGACGGCGGCGCGCCGCGCCGCACGGTCGCCGCAGTGGCGCGCTCTGCAGTCTCGGCCGCCACGTTCGCGGCGCGGCCGACGACGCAAGCGCACGCTGCAGACGGCCGACGTGACGATCATGCTGCTGATGCCGTTGGCGATGCCGCTCGCCCAGCTGGTGCCTCCGCGGAGGCGAAGCGGGCGCGGCGTCGGCGCCGCCGTGCGGCGCGCGCGGCTCGCAAGCAGCAGGAAATCACCGACGGCGACGTGACGACGGCTGGTGCTGGCAGTGCTGGCGCGGGCCTGGGGCTCGCCCTGCTGCCCACGGCGATGGCGGTCGACGGCGCCGACGACGAAGACCTCGCCTCGTTGGTCGACGACTCCTGGGCTGACAGCCTGCCCGTCGGCGGGCGGCGGCGGCCTGGGCGGGGGCGCGAGGGCAGGTGGGTCGCGGAGGCGGTGGCTGCTGGCGCGGGCGGCACGGGCTCTGGCTTGGCCGCCGCGGCGGCCGCTCCCGCGGGCGCGGCGCTGGCCCTTGCGAGGGCCCCGGGCGGGGCGGCGGCGGCGGAAGCGGCGGATCTCGCTCGCGGAGTGGGAGGTGCTGCTGGAGCTGCTGCGTGCGGCCTCGAGCGCGCCGGCCTGGCTGGCGGCGCCGAGCCACGGCGGCGTGGGCCGAGGCGCGCGCGGGCGAAGGCGCAGGCGGAGGCGGCGAGGGCGGCGGCGGAGCTGGGCACGGCGCTCGCGGGAGCGGCGCCTGCTGGCGGCGGAGCTGCTGCCTCGGAAGGCCCTGGGGAGGTCTTCGAGCGTGCCGACTGCCTCCTTCGGCAGGCGCCTGGCTACGGGCCTCAGCTCAGCGTGCAGCTTCGGCAGATGCTGGAGTCCGTGAGCTGGAGGCCCGCCAGCGCCGTGTGAGCTGGGGAGTGCCTACGGTGGTCTGGGCCTTTTCAGGCTCGGCACGGGGTGGATGGTGGCTCGCGTGGCCGCCTCACCTGACGGCGCGCACCCAGGCAGCGTGGCGAGCGCGCTGCAACTTGGAGGCCGCTGTTTGCGGGGCCTCCTGGCCGCATTTTGCGGCTCTCGCCTTCTTGGCGGCGGGGTCGGCTCGTGCCGCGCGGGCTGCCTGGTGTGTGTAAAATTATCCCGGCAAAGCAACCTAACAGCGATGTGTAGGAGCATATCTGGAAGCGTTCCCCTTAAGATTCAGATGAGAATCCAGTTGTAGAATTGTGCTGTTCTCGCAGTCGTAGTCGCATTCGCGATGGCAGTCGCAGTGGCAACGGCAGTCGCAGACACAGCCTCAGCCTCAGCCTGCCTCAGCCTCAGCCTCAGCCTGCCTCAGCCTCAGCCTGCCTCAGCCTCAGCCTCAGCCTGCTTCAGCCTCAGCCTCAGTCTGCCTTCAGCCTCGGCGTCAGCCTCAGGCTGCCTCAGCCTCAGCCAGCATCAGCCTCAGCCTCAGCCTCAGCCTGCCTCAGCATCAGCCTGCCTCAGCCTCAGCATTCAAAATGTGGCCCGGGAATGGAGTTCTGGGAACTCGAAGACACGAAGTGGCCTACAGTTGGCTCCGGGCATCAAAATCTGCCCGGGAATGGAGTTCTGGGAACTCGAAGACCACGAAGTGGCCTACAGTTGGCTCCGGGCATCCAAAATCTGGCCCGGGAATGGAGTTCTGGGAACTCGAAGACCACGAAGTGGCCTACAGTTGGCTCCGGGCATCCAAAATCTGGCCCGGAATGGAGTTCTGGGAACTCGAAGACCACGAAGTGGCTTACAGTTCGCTCCGGGCATCCAAAATCTTGCCCGGGAATGGAGTTCTGGGAACTCGAAGAGCACGAAGTGGCCTACAATTGGCTCCGGGCATTCAAAATGTGGTCCGGGAATGGAGTTCTGGGAAGTCGAAGACCACAAAGTGGCCTACAGTTGGTTCCGGGCATTCAGAATTTGGCCCGGGAATGGAGTTCTGGGAGGTCGAAGAGCACGAAGTGTGTGACTGTTGGCTTAAAACGACTTCTGCGGCACCCTGTCCGGCACCCGCCCAGACCCCCCTGTGGAGTCATCTGCTGCTCTCTTTTGACCGTATTAGAAACCTATCAGAACAAACTGTTAGGTAAAAAAGGGGCACGATTCCTCCCTAGGAGGTCTCACGAGGCTCCAGGAGGCCCCAGGAGGCCACGCAAGGCTCCAGGAGGCTTCAGGGGGCCAGTCGAAGCCCCAAGATGCCCCAGGAGGCCCCAATAGGCTCCTTGAAGCCTTAGGAAGCCCCAGGAGGTTTCAGGAGGCCCCAGAAGGCCCCAGGCTCATGCGCAGAGACGCGCTCGTACTATTGAGACTCATTCACACTCCAATTTTCGTTCGCAGTAAGATTCATGACCAGACCGTCACAATTCAAGCCCGCTTATCTTCGAAAACTCTTGCGCCTAGACGCTCGCGGCGGACAGGTCCATGCGAATAGATGCACAAAGGGGGAGCTCCACGCAGTGAATAATGATTTTCTGACCGCGCTGGGTCCCTCACCATCATCCTTCCCCTCCCTCCTCCCTTTCTGTACCAGACGATGATGATGAGTGTCATGGTGATTACCATGGTATGGTGAGAGTATGATGCGAGTATGATGGTGATGGTGAACGGTGGATGAGTATGACGAGGGTGATGGTGATGATGATGCTGATGATGATAATGCTGATGCTGCGAATGATGATGATGACGATGATGATGATGATGATGCTGATGATGATGATGGTGGTGATGATGATGATGATGATGATGATTATGATGATGTTGCTGATGATGTTGCTGATGATGCAGATGATGAGGATGTCGCGAGTGCCTGGCTGGTTTTAGCACTCCTAAGGGGGGGCGCCACGCCAGCGGGTATCTCACGGCCTCCGTTCGCGCCAAAATGGCGGGGATGTCTCGAGCGGTTTGCTTGTTTTGGTCGCGGACATCTTCCGTTCTCGGAGCAGATTGTGTGGATGTCTCGTGCGAGGCGCCTCCTAAGGGGGGGCCGCCAGGGGCATCTCGCGGCCTCCGTTCGCGCCCCAATTGCGGGGATGTCTCAGGCGGTTTGCTTGTATTGGTCGCGAACATCCTTCGTTTTCGGAGCAGATTCTGAGGATGTCTCGTGCGAGGCGCTTGCTATCGCACCCCAGGGGGCCCAGATTACGAGGATGTCTCGAGCGGGTTGCGTGTTTTGGTGGTCAGACTCGTCCGTGCTCAGAGCAGATTCTGAGGATGTCTCGAGCGGCTTGCTTGTTTTAGCACTCCTAGCGGGGGGGTGGCGCCAGGGGTGTTGCACGGTCTCTGCTCGCGCCCAGATTGCGGAGATGCCTCGAGCGGTTTGCGCGTTTCCTGACCCAATGTTTTCTCATTGCCGGAGCAGACTTGGAGGATGTCTCGGGCGAGGCACTGGCTGTCACCCCAGGGGATCCAGATTGCGAGGATGTCTCGAGCGGTTTGCTTGTTTTGGTGGCCAGACTTGTCGAATGCAGGCGCTTGCATTCGCACCCCAGGGGGGCTTAGATTGCGAGGATGCCTCGAGGGGTTTGCCTGTTTGGGCTGCCAGAATCGTGGGCAGGAGGCCCCAGGAGGCTCCAGGAGGCCACATGGAGCCCCAAGAGGCTCCAGGATGCTCCAAAGGGCTCCAGGAGCCTCCAGGAAGCTTCAAGAGTTTCGATGAATCCCCAGGTAGCCCCAGGATGCTCCAGGAATCCATAGGAAACCCCAGAATGTCACAAGAGGCTCCTCCCGAGAAGCTCCAGGAAGTTCCAGGAGGCCCCAGGAGGTCCCAGGAGGCCTCAGGAAGCCACGTGAATCCTTAAGAGGTACCAGGAGGCTCCAAGAGGCCCGTGGAAGCCCCAGGAAACGCCAGGAAGGACCCACGTGTTTTACTTATGCTCCTATAGATCAGGCCTCTCCAGGGGCACGAGTCCTTTGTGGTTTACGTGTGTTCCTATAGAGTGTCCTTTTCCTGTGGCTCCAATCCGAGGTGTTTTGCTCATGTTCCTATAGATTGGGCGTCCCGTGGGGCACGAATCTTTGGTGCTTTACGTCTGTTCCTATATATTGTCCTTCTCTTGTGGTTCCAATATTAAATGATTTACAAATGTTCCTATACATTGGGCCTCTCCTGGGGCACGAATCCTCCCCAGGAGGCTCCAGGCAGGCCCAGGCGGCCCCCGGAGGCCACAGAAGGTCCCAGGAGATTTCAGGAAGCCACAGGAAGCCCCAAGAGGCACCAGGAGACTCCAAGAGGCCCGAGGAAGCCCCAGGAAACGCCAGGAAGGACCCAGGAGGTCTCAGGAGGCTCAGTCCCCATGAAGCGCCAGGAAGGCCCAAGGAAGCCCCAAGAGGCCTCAGGAAGCCCCAGGAGGCCCAAGAAGGAGCAGTCCCCAACAGGCCCCAGGAGTCCCCAAGAGGCCCCATGAGGCTCCAGGAAGCCGCAGGAGGCCCCAGGAGCTCCAAGAGGCTTAAGGAAGCCCCATGAAGCCCCAAGAGGCCCTAGGAGGCCCCAGGAGCCCCAGGAGACTTGAGGAAACCCCAGGAAGCCCCAAGAGACTCCAGGAGGATTCAGTCACGCCCAGTCATGCTCAGGCCACTGACGTGCATGTACTCTCACCCTAAGTTTCGCCATGCGCAGGCTCACGCGCAGAGGCTCACTCGCACTACTGGGGCTGAACACACTCAAAGTCATTCACAGTTTGACTCTATCCCAGCCGGTCAATATCCAAGCTCGTTTATATTCGAAGCTTCTTGCGCCTAGACATTCACGGCGGAAATGCCAATGAAAAGAGATGCACATATGGGGAGCTCCACGCAGTGAATACTTGTGATGGTCCCGGGGCCCGACGCCGCGCGAAAGCGCCAGGTGGGCACAGCTTGCAGCGCCCGGATCTCAGGGCACCCTGCCCACGCACCCAGGCCTGGGGGGCTGCGGCCTGGGGGCGCCTCTTCGACTGCTCGCTCTGTGCTCGGGCTGCCTCGCGGCCTCGGGCCGCCCGGCAGCCCCGCGCGCGCGTGCCCAGCTGTCGGCTAATGCCTCCGCGCCGCTGCAGTTTTCACCCCGCACTGCCTGCCGCTGCGTCGGGTGCTGACAGAAGCCCCGCGTGGCTCTGGAGGTCGTTGCGTGATGTCCGACCCCGAATCAAACCTCCAGGTCCGTTTCGGAGGTCGCTGCGGCGATCGCGGCGGCCACAAATCGGGGCAAGGCGTTTGTCAAGGAGTGGCTTGTCCCTTCCCAGCCCCCCCCCGGACTCTGCGATATTGATGCGGCTCTGAATCAGCCATAGATCGACAGAGGATTGCCAATCTATGTTCCACATGGGCAGTCATGTTCTATTGGTTACGGGTCGATGATCACGCAACTAGGAGGGGTATCCTTCTGTTCTTCCCGGTTGGGCCCTCCACCGCGGAGTGCTGCTCGTTTTGGGGCATCTCTGTGGGGCCCTGAGGCCTTCGGCGGTGGAACTCTGGTCTTGGCCCACGACCTCGGGGCAATGCTTCGACGTCAGCGCGCGTTCTGAGGATCATCGGGAAGGGTCAGCCCTGGGGAAAAAGTGGGTCGGGGCTTCGGGGGCCCCTCACCTGAAGAAGTCAAGGCACTGGATGTCTGGGACACTTCTGAGCGTGGGGCTCCTGGGCGAGTGCACGCAGCAGCAAAAAGAGGCGCCGGGCGTCCGCCATTCGACCAAGCGGCGGTGGAGGGAAGAGCCTAGAACTAGAAAAGCGATACTCGAAATCGATGTTCCAGGCGGTCCCCTCTGGAACCGAAGAAGGACAGCTTGCATCTACACAAACTTCGGAGGTCCGCGCGGACTTCTTGGATCTGCGCTGGGCCCCCGTGGCGGTGTCGCCAGCGTAGACGCTGACGCGCTCCGCGCCCCAGGGAGGGGGTCCAGTACCGATCCGAAAAACCTGCGCGGACCTCCAGCGACTCCAGAAGAGGCCTCGCCCTCGGAAGCTGGCGGAAGGTCGGCGGAGGGCGGCGTAAATGAAACGGCGGCGGGTCCGCGGGAGGAAGTCGGCGGAAGGCCGGCGGAAGGTGGCGTTTCCGGAGTCGGCCATGCGGTGGTGCACCTTCGGAGGTCAGCGCGGATATTTTGGGTCCAGCGCGGGGAGGGGGTCCACACCCCTGGGGTCTTGGGCTTCGCCCACGGCGCCGCCTTCCGCGCGCCAGGGAAGGGGGGGCGTGTGGAGGGGTCCGCGCCGACCCAAGAAGCCCACGCTGCGCTTCTCAGGGCAGTGTCTACGCGGTGTCTTCGTTTCTTGTCTCCGTGACGGGAGGATTGAGTTGCGGCAAGAGGGGGCTGCTGTTCCGACCAGGAGGAGTCGCCCGGCGCGTTCCGCTTCCGTCTTCCTGGCCGAAGCTCCGGCAGCAGAGCGCGGCAGCGCTCACTCTCGGCTTCTGCCTCTCCCGCTCGTGCGCTGGCGGGCAGGGCCTGTGCGGGCTGCCGTGACGTGCACCAGCACCGGGCAGAGCTGGGCAGACGAGGCAAGCTGTCGGCGGTGCGCCCAAGGGGGCTGGAGCAAGGGGGAGGCGGCGTGCTAACCAGATTCCTTGCCTCCTGGACGCCCTCCTGCCCGCCCTCCTCAGACGACCTCGTGAAAATCTCTGAGTCCTTCCCAGACGCTCCCTGGCCTGACCAGGCTCGAGTTCATCCCTGTACCTGGGGTCGGCATGCCCAAGGAGATGACAATCTTAGTGGTGTGCCCTCCAAATGCAGGCTCTCAAGATCGGCACCGAGAAAGGGACCGCCAGTCGTAGGGATGGGATATTCGTCAGGCTGGTTTCGCCCTCTCGAGAGGCCGCCACCCTCGCACCCTGTGCGCACCTCCAGAGCCGGGAGGGTCAGACGAGGAGATGGCGAGGAGAAGGCGAGAAGCTCGACGAGCAAGGTTGGCAGAGGTGCGAACTGTCAGAGGTCCGCGCGGATTGCTGGATCGGGGCCGGACTCCCCTTCCTGTTGTGCGGAGCGCGCCAGGGGCGGCGCAAAGGGCGGCGCCAGAGGCGCCGCCTGGCGCAGGAGGAGGAGGACGAGGAGGAGGCGGATGACGAGGAGGAGAAGAAAGAGGAGGAGAAATATGACGAGGAGGAGGAGGAGGAGGAGGGATGAACTTGGAGGGTGAAGGAGTGGAGGATGAGGTCATCAGGGGAGATAGTGGAGGAGGAGGAGGAGGAGGAGGCGGAGGCGGAGGCGGAGGCGGAGGAGGAGGAGAAGGAGGAGGAGGAGGAGGAAGAGGAGGCTGAGGAGGGAAAGGAGGAGGAGGAGGAGGAGGAGGAGGAGGAGGAGGAAGAGGAGGAAGAGGAGGAAGAGGAGGAGCAAGATGAGGAGGAGGAGGAGGAGGAAGAGGAGGAGGAGGAGGGATGAGGGTTGGAGGGTGGAGGGAGGAGGAGGAGGAGGAGGCGGCGGAGGTGGAGGAACGATGACGGATGAGGGCCACCGAGAGCGCGTCCGACTCGAACACTTCTCAGGATCAGGCTCCCCTGCCAACCCCCCACGGCCACCACCGTCCGCCCTGGGGTCTCCGCCAGGGGGTCCGCGACGAGAATCGGCGGGCCCTTCTGGAAGAGGAGGCCCCGAAGCCAGCTCGTGGGAGGCCGCGCCGAGCTGAGCCGCCACGGCATGTGCCTCTGCCATGCCGCGCGCGCCAGGGGGCCGCTCGCCGCCCGTCGCCGCCGTGGCCGCCGCCCGCCGCGGGGGCAGGCCGTCGGCCCAGGCGTCGTCCAGCAGGGGCGACGGCGGAGCGGGGGCGCCGCCCGCCTGCGCTGCCGCCGTTGCCGCGTCCTCCACAATCATGCCTTCGGCGCCGAGGCCGTGCTAAGCTGAAGCTAAGCTGAAGCTAAGCTAAAGCTAAGCTACACCTAAACTAAAGCTAAGCTACATCTAAGTTACAACTAAGCTAACGCTAAGCTAACGCTAAGCTAAACCTAAGCTATCGCTAAGGTAAAGCTAAGCTACAGCTAAGCTAAATCTAAGGTGCAGCTAAGCTAAAGCTAAGCTAAAACTAAGACATAGCCAAACTAAAGCTAAGTTAAAGCTAAGCTAAAGCTAAGCTAAGGGGACGTAACTGGGGAACCGCGGGGCGGATGCCGGGGGAACCGCTCGGGGCGATTTCCACTGCCCGGCCCCTTTAAGCCCATAGAGTAAGAACCCTTCTAGGCAGAGCCTAGGTAGGGAACTGAGGAGGAGGAGGAGCAGCAGCAGCAGGAGGAGGAGGAGGAGGAGCATCAGCAGGAGGAGAAGGAGGAGGAGGAGGAGGAGGAGGATACTGTCGGATTACACAGCCTTTGAGGGTGGCTGGCCCCTATACTAGATCTACGCATGTGAGGGCGCAGCCCAAATACGGAGAGGTGAATGCGTGCTGGGTCCAAACCCAAACTTGAAGAGGGGTCAATGTATGACGTGTCGTAGTTCCCGCATCAGGGATCAACGCATGAGGGCCCGCGTCACGGCATGAGGGGTCGACGCATGAGGGGTCGAGGCCTCAGCGATGGGGTCAGCGCGTGGCGGATCATAGACCCAGAATAACAGGCCAACGCGTGAGATGGCCTATACGAGGGGGTGGGCCTCAGATCGAGGGGTCAACAAATGAGGGGTCGGACCCTAGCGGATGCTATGTGCATTCCGCGCCCCTTGTGGCCGTAACATTGTTCAACAGTTAGTATCAAGATGCGGAGGACGAGGTAGAAATGGCGGCCATAACGCTTTTGCGGGGCAGCAGGGTGAGCTAGAAGTAACAAGTACACCAGGGTAGCAACGTGGCGAAGGAGGATGGGGCAGCAGACGGTGGACGCGAACCAGAACATAACATCCGAAGACCACTTGCATCCCATGAGGGGACAAGGCTGAGGGGGAGACAAACCCACGGCGCGGGGGAGCAACGTCCGAGGGGGCGGCCCCAGCGTGACGGGTCAACAACTGAACAGCCAAAGCCTTGGCATGAGGGGTCAGCGCATGGGGTCGAATGGTGAGGGGCGCGCCCTGCATGAGGGTCAACGCATGTGGACCCAACTCTCCAGCCATGGCATCAAACCCTGGAGGGTCGTAGACCCAGGGTGAAGGTTACCGTGTGCGGAGCCAAATCCAAAGTCTATAAAAGGAGGGGCCAAGACCCCAGCATGAGGGTTCAAGTGACGAGGGGCGAAAGCCCAGCATGAGGGGTCAACGCATGTGGGTCCAAAGCTCCAGCGATCGGGTCAACGCATGGAGGGTCGCATACCCAGAATAAAGGATACACGCAAAGGACATCAAATCCACAGAGTGAAGGGTTAATACACGAGGGGGCGGCCCCAGCGTGAAAGGTCAACGATGAAGCGAAACACGCCAGCATGGGTGGATACCGCATGATATGAGAGGGGGCCGCGCCCCTAGCACAAGTGGTGAACGCGAGATGGGTGAAAAGAGGACAGCGATGTGACAAATCAAAAGAACTAGCCAGCATATTCCACTGATACTTGGGCAGGGACCAGCAGCTCATAGTCGCGTGAGACCCAGAAACATCTGCGGTCGGTGCCGCCTGTTGAGGCTTTGTACGCAAGGGCTCTGGTCGTCAACAACAATTGCAAAGAGGATACCGGGAGGATCTGGAAGAGCAAAAGGCAGCAGGGTATCAAGGTGGCCCAGAAAGATGGGGGATCAGAATAGGAGGCAAGATGACAAGAGGGTTTGCTGGTGTCGCCCCGGCTCAATAGACGATGGAATTCTTGTGGGGCGTCCCGTCCGGAGTATCAGATTGAGCATGATTTGGCCAGCGCCCCGGGCATCCCTCACAAGAATCGAGCTCCATAAGATGCGGGTAGCCGGCGGCACGGGTGGGGAGGAGGAGCAGGAGGAGGAGGAGGAGGAGGAGGAGGAGGAGGACACAGGCGGATTACACAGCCTTCAGGGTGGCTGGCCCCTGTAATCAGGAAGCACATCTATTGAGAGGGTCTGCGTGTCTGCCGACCTGAAGCCAACGTGAGTTGGTGCCCTACGGGCAGGATTTGGCTAGCGAGGGCGTCCCGCATGTGGATGAGGGCGCCCGGTGGGGGAAACATTTGATCGCCCCAGTGGGGCGCAGCAAATTTGATAGGCTTGTTTTCCACCACCACCACACTAAATTGGAGGGGGAGGGGGTCCTCCTCCTCCTCCTCCTCCTCCTCCTCCTCCTCCTCCTCTACGTCCTCCTCCTCCTCCTCCTTCTCCTCCTCTACGTCCTCCTCGTTCATG